CACGAAGACAAGGAGTGGTACAGCTTCAGTCAAGAGAAACAAATGTCATACTGCACATGTCTAAGGTACTCATCGCTGAAGGACTCGGCTACAACTTACTGAGCGTTAGCCAGTTGATGGCGAAAGGAATTCATCTGGAAGCCGACAGCACGACCCAGGAGTTCAAACTTTACCACGGGAGAGGCGGTCTCTACATCGGGAAAGCAGTGCTGAAGAACAACGTCTTCGTCCTCGACTTCGTTCCTGACCTGGGCACTGCAGACAGCGACGCCATCGTGAATTTCACTGACTGGACACACCCTCCGGATCTCGACCCCGACTTCAGCCCAGGAGGCTTCTGGTACTCGCACACCATTCCTGAAGCAGAACGAACACGAGCATTAGCAACAATTCGACAATCGGCAGCAGTAACAACATCGGCAGCAGCAACAACATCAGCAGCAGTAACAACATCGGCAGCAGCAACAACATCAGCAGCAGTAACAACATCGGCAGCAGCAACAACATCAGCAGCAGTAACAACATCGGCAGCAGCAACAACATCAGCAGCAGTAACAACATCGGCAGCAGCAACAACATCAGCAGCAGCAGGAACAACGACACCAGTCATAGTCGACGAAGCACCACCAACACCCGCGAAACAGCTGAATCCGACTCAACGTGAAGTCCACCGAAGCGCCAACCTCGTCGCCAGCTTTTACTCCAACTCCGACGCATATCAGCGTTCACCTGGACACCGTGCCTCTGAAGAGATCTGGCACGCACGAACAGGACATCCAAGTAACACGGTTTTGAATAACACGATAAGAGCAGGAGTCCTTGACAAAGATTCTCTACTTCTACCCGATGGCAGAGAACTCCAGAAGGCACGAGGGACTTGCCTTATATGTCCCGAAGCTGACTTACCTCATCGACCGTTTGCTTCACATCACAACCCGAGCGCTCCAGCGTACGCACCACTCGAAAAAGTCTACAGCGACATCCTCTACAATCGCGAGCCAGGACAAGTCAACTACAACTACACCATCACCTTCATCGACGCCGCCACTCGATACGTCTGGCATCGCAACCTACCCAGCCGCGACATGGCGCTCGCAGCATTCGCCGCCTGGCTACCGATAGCAGAGAGAGAGTCTGGAACACAACTGAAAAAATTCCAGTCAGACGGAGGTGGCGAGTACACCTCTCACCGCTTCAAGCAGTTCTTGGCGGAAAGGGGGATCAAGCAACTCCTCTCCCTTCCTTACGCACATCAGCAGCAAGGTGTTGCAGAACGACTGAACAGGACCCTGCAGAACAGCATGCGCAAACTATTACGTGGCATGCGGCTACCCAACCACCAGTGGCCAGCAGCAATGGACCACGCTGTCATGCTACACAACTTGTTGTCGTCGTCGTCACTCCCGAACAACGCATCACCGCATCTGCTGTGGACAGGGAAGCAGGGCAGCACGAAAATGTTACGAGTTTTCGGGTGCATGGTACAGTACAGACCCCCAGAAGCACGAGCGGGAAGATTTTCGCAACGGGCACAGTGGGGACTACACCTCGGCACCGAGAAAAATTACAACGCATGGAAAATCTTCGACGTCCACACAAAGGAAACAGTAGCAGCACGTGACGTGATCTTCTACGAAAGACTCACCCTTCAGACGTACCTCGCCAACTTGCACGAGAATCGGGACCTCACCAGTGGTTTTCGTGGTGACCGAGCCTTCGCGTCAGCAGCGGACGAAGCAGACTGGGATGAACAGAACGTCGACAACGCCTCAGAAGAAGCCGGACCTCTCCCATACTGCTCCGTCGACGTGCCCATGGATGAGGATAATCCTCGCGACAGTAACAACGCCGAAATCTTCTACCGTTTCGCCGACGATGGTTACGTAACACCTGTGACAGTCAACACCAACGAAGCAGAAAGGGTAGGCCCAAATTTCATGCCCGACCCAGAAACGGGAGACGAAGCAGCTTATCCCGAGGATCCAGAACTCCCTCGATACTCACAGACTGGGCTGCAAATCCTCGGCCTCGTCACCGCAGTCCACGGGAACACACGCAGCTCGTTTCCTAAGGAGCCTGCAACGGTTCAGCAGGCTCTGGGGGGGGAACACAGGGAGAAATGGCGTGAAGCCATGGATAGAGAACTGAAGGCATTAGAGGAACGCAACACTTGGAAGGTTGTTCCCGTAAGCGTGGCACGGAACAAAACCATCCTTACCGGGAAATGGGTCTTCCGCATCAAGACGAAAGCAGACGGCACGATCGAAAAATTCAAAGCACGCTGGGTCGTACGTGGATTCGACCAAGAGCAAGGACGAGACTTCACCGAGACCTTTGCTCCAGTCAGCCGCCACACGTCACTCCGAATTCTCCTCGCCATTGCCGCCATGAAGAAGAAGAAGTTACGGCAGATCGACGTCGCGAATGCCTTCCTCTACGCACCTGTGGATGCAGAAATCTACGTTGAGCTCCCGCACGGTTCCCACGGCGAACCCAACCGAATCTGTCAACTACTTAAGTCGCTCTACGGGATCAAGCAGGCACCGCGACTGTGGCAGCAGTACCTGCACGCCCGTCTCATCCGCATCGGCTTTAGTCAACTACCTCACGACCAAGGCATGTACCGCCTCACTAAGGGAAGCGACTACGTTCTCCTGATCGTCTACGTGGACAATCTCCTCTACATTGGGTCAACCGACGGCATCGCCACGTGGTTCGAAGGAGAGCTCCAGAAAGACCTCACGCTCACGGTCTCCTCCACCGTTACACAGTACCTCGGGCTCAACATCCGCGAAGAAGAAAACGCCATCTATCTAAGCGCCGAGAAATACGCCGACACCATCGCGAAACGTTTCAGCCTCACACCAAGCGCCATCTCCACGCCCTACCGCTACACATCAGGAACCGAGAAGGAACGAACTACTCTACTCAAGCCCGCCGGCATACGCGACTATCAGAAGAAGCTCGGATGCCTGCTATTCGCCGCCGTCACCTGCCGTCCTGACTTATCCTACTCCGCAAGTCAGCTCGCCACCTATCTCAAGAAGCCTGAAGCTGAACACCTGGCGGAACTTGATCGCGCTCTCCACTACTTCGTCAGCACCGCGACGATCGGGCTAACCTACCACAAGAGCGCAGCTACACCGACTAAGCTAATCGGCTACGTCGACGCCGATCACGCCGGCGACACCGACAACAGGCGCTCACGCACCGGCTATGTCTACCGCCTTGAGCCTATCGGTCCTATCTCCTGGCAGTCGAGCAAGCAGGAGTTAATCGCACTATCTTCAGCAGAAGCAGAATATATTGCACTCTGCTCAGCCACCAAGGAGGGACTTTACCTTCGCGAACTACTGGAAGAAGCGAAGCTAGCCGAGTTACCCAGCTTCACCGTGTTCTGCGACAACCAGTCAGCAATTCGCATCGCCAACAAAAACGGCTTCGCAAACAGGACGAAACACATCGCCCTGCGCTATTTCTTCGTGAAGGACGAGATAGAAAAAGGGAAACTCGATCTGTCATACTGTCCAACATCCGAGATGGCAGCCGATTACTTGACCAAGAAACTCGGCAAGCAGAAGTTCGAATACTGCATGATGCTGACTGGACAAGGCCACGTCACCAGCAGTAACACTCCAGAAGCGAAGGGGAGTGTTGGAAACAATAAGTCCTAAGTGCGCTTCTGTCGTATCAAAATCCAAGGTACCAAGCGAAGCAGTCCCAATCGAAGCATCGAGTCAACCTCGGAGGTTAGGGTAACCGCCTGGAGGTTACGAGAAAGTCAAAGGTCGCTGACCTTTGACTCGACAATTACTGCGCGACAGTTAAGGACACACAACTGACTCGTTACAGAGCAGTTGCCCGAGTCGCGCTATATCGAACCGCAACAGCAATACAGTTATCTATTCCCTGTACTCTTATATAAATCCTTGTATTTGCTTGTTTAATTCAATCAACTTTGCTCTCACACACCAGTGCAAGGTCGGTTCAAATTCTTCACTAAACGCTTCCGCTATTACAACTACTTCACCTAGAGTTATCCCTTGCAAAGATCCTAAGGGGCTATCTCAGCCCAACAGTGGACAAGTCTGCGAAGGGCATTGCTGCCAGGATGTGGGACAGAGGGGTTACTGTACTTGATAAGAGCATGTCGGTTTGCTCTGTCCTGATTGATTGACTAGTGATGTACTAAGAAAAGCTTTTGTACACTGAGAGCTGCTGGTACAACACTATTATCCTACACTAGCTATATTACTCCTACCACCAGTGCTCATGGTCAGGCCACATTATTTATGCCAGAACCATATTTACTGGCCTGTCCCGCTTGTAGGAGAGGTGTAGTCTCGTTTAAACTTGCTGCATCTACACTTTCACCAACAGCCCTTGCTGCTGTTGCCCCTGGTGTTATCACCCCTGCTGCTGCAACCCCATCACTTGTCCCTCCAAAGCCCTCCTCTTCATCCTTCCCCTCACTTTCCCTCGCCCTCATCTCCCTCTCCACGGCCCAGCTATACAGCACCATCCCAGCCACAGCCAGGAGCATCCCTAGGAGCGTCTTAAGACTAAGGGGGTCTTTAAAGACCGCCCAGCCTAGAAGGAGTATGGCTAGGGTCTTCATGTGGCCTAGGACCTGGAATGAAACCGCAGAGAACTTTCCTATGCAGAGGTAGACGCTGACTGTGGTGAGGAGGGCGAGGATGCAGGAGAGGAGAATCCACGCCTGGTGGTGGTGGTGTGCAGTGGGGGATGGGGAAGCAAGGATTACTCAGGCGCTCAAAAACCAGCTCAGAGGTAGACACTGGCTGTGGTGACGTGGGCGCGCATGCAGGAGAGGAGAATCCAGGCCTGGTGGTGTGGTGTGCGGAGGAAGAGGGGGGAAGAGAGGGATGACGGGGAAAGGTGAGAAGGTAGCTGGGCCTTAGTGGGCGATCTACAGCAGTAGGTTAGGAAGCTTAGTGTGAAAACGGAATCTGGATGGAAATCGAGCTGATACGTGCTGCCTACTGGGGAATACATTTTGATTTAAGACAGGTTGTAGCAGCACCTACAGTGGCATCAGCAGTCAGGGTGTAGTGAATGACGTTGTAGCCTGTAAGGAGGTAGTCCACAGCGGGTCCCAGCAGCAGCAGCGAGGCTGCTTGCAGAGGGGCGGTCTGAATGAGCAGGTCGAAGGAGCCCAAGGCATAGCGCTGCTGTAACTCGCCCACTGACTGCACCATAGGGAAAGGGTGGAGCAATGGGAGGGATGGCAGGGAGAGAAGTGACTTTGAGGTCTTAACAAAAGTCACTTTGCTTGCAGGGGAGAGGTCTGAATGAGCAGGTCGAATGAGCCCAGGGCATAGCGCTGTTGCAACTCTCCCACTGACTGCATGGTGGGGAGGGGGTGGGAGGGCAGGGAGAAAGACAGAGACAGCAGGGACGGCAAAAGGGAAAAATGCGTATGGAAGGAAAAGAAAGCAAACTAGCCAATGCACAATGAGCAACAGCGACAGGCATGTGACCTTTGACTTGTCCCACTAGCCAGCAGTCAGCCAGAGCTCAGAGAGCTGCTGCCATCCCACCGCTCTCTTCTCCCACAAGCTCTCTTACCACTGCTCTAATCAGAAACGCCAATCATTTTCTGTACCTACACTCACAATCTGTTGCAGGGATGTGGAGACAGCGCCAGCAGCGGCGGTGACGAGTCCGAACGTGTTGATGGTGACGTCAGTGACCGTGCACACACCCACTCCCACCAGCACCACCAGCACCGCTGCCAGCGTGGGGGGCGAGTAGGCCTTGCCGTGTAGCAGCGCCTCAAACGCGCAGGTTAAAGGGATGATCGCCAGACGGCTGATCTGGTGGCCAGTGGAGGGGGGTGAAAGGGTCGTTCAGTCAATGATGAGCCGGTGAATCTGCTTCATTGCACTGCATACATCGGTGAAGGTACAGTAGATTAAGTGGGCGTGTTACTGTTGAGGGGCCTCAAAAAGGCATAGTAGCTTGAGTGCGTGCGGCGTGCACCTGGTAGAAGCCGACAGAATTGGCGAGGAGGGCGAAGCTGGTGGTGACGACACACGCATTAGGGAGCGGCACGAAGTGACCCACCTCCCTTCAAGGTGCCTCCAAGGACATATCAGTGAGGGTATTGCGGGTGTTGCGCACCTGGTAGAACCCCACGGAGTTGGCGAGGAGGGCGAAGTTGGTGGTGACGACACACACGTTGGACAGCAGCGTGAAGCGCCCCACCTCCCACGCGGGCAGCGTGGGGACCGGGGCAGGGGGAGGCGCGGCGGAAGGGGGGATCAGAGAGGCGGAGGGAGAGAGGGGTGCGGGGGAGGAAAGGGAAGGGGAGGGGAAGGAGGGAGGGAGGAAGCGCGCGAGGCAGAGGCAGAGCAGCCCGGCGAGAGTGGCGAAGGAGAGATGCAGGCCGCTCAGCGTGGTGGCTGGGATGGGGGGGGAGAAGGGAGAAATGGAGGGCGGTGGGGGAACGAGGCGGGAGGAGTGGGAGGAGGGGGAACGTAGGAGGAAAGTCTGGAAGGGTGCGTGGCGGCGGAAAGCAAACGCGAACGACGGGCCTGAATGAATGAGCACTAATGACGGTGACTAATAACAGTGATGCTACTGACCGTAGACGAAGGAGTATCCGGTCATGACTTGCTTGTTGACGAGAATTATGGCCACCGAGCTGACCACGTTGAGAGTCCACGCCGTCGCCGACGACACGCGCGACGGATGGTTCAACATGTTTGATAATTCTAAGCAGCGAATCTGAAGTCTGAAGCCTAAGACGTCGCGGACGACACGCGCGACGGATGGTTCATCATGATGGTGATCAATTCCGCCTGTAATAAACTCGGGTTGGATTCCGACAAGATCGGATCAGACGTCTGTTACGAAATTGGACCGATCCACGCGTCGACTGCTGTCATGGGCCTCGTGGTATGGATCTCACAGTTGAAGCTGGAACTCTGGCGAGCTGTTGTGCTGCCTTAGAGATTCACACTTCAAATCCAAATTTGTGTGTTCATCTATCCTCGTTTTGGAAAAATCCAAATTTCGTTTGCGTGTTGCCTGTGGTGAAAATCCTACCCAATTCCCAAGGAGGGTTGGTTGTACAGGTCAATAGAAAAACACTGAAGAGCTCAATTTCGAGATGGGTAAGACCTGGTTTTATATGTTACCGAGAGTTGCCGTGTGTTCCAGTACGGTGAAAGTTTCTTACAGCAATACGAGGAATAGCGTAACCATGAAGCTGCCGTACCCATCCCAATGCACATGGCTCCTAACCTGCGAACTCTCATTCTCAGGACCTCCTAGATTCTGTCGAATCGTTTCTTGCTCTGTCGCATCAAGCACCCGGACAGAGTTTCTTGCCTAATCCTCTTTCATAGTTGGCTATTCTCCTTTTTACTATCCGACGATCGTCTGTTCCCATTACTGCGGCGTGTATCCTTCCAGACATCATGCCGTTACCCTCGAGGATTGTAGACCAGGCGTGAAGAAGTATATCTTCTTTTCATCAAACAGCGATTTCGTGCGATGCGATCGCTACCGTTCGTTGCTTGAGTATCTTACTCCGTCCGAACGAGCTCAATGGAGGTCCTCAATAGACCTGCCGTTCAGGCGTCTGGTGTACCAATTTCCTGGACGCTTTATTTCCCTAGCGAGGAGTTCTCTCCCGAGGACAGACGAGCCGAGCTCATCAAATCGCTCATTGACGGATTCCTCACGGAGAAAGGCCAGCAGCTGCTGCAGCAGGTAGTACCTGAGGACATTTGTAGCAGCGGTAGGAGATTCCTGATGCAACAATAGACGATTTCGGACGTCAGTGGTGACTGACGTCTCCCTATGCAATGACTGACTGATATCCGTTACTCAGAACAGGTGGATGCATGACAATTACTTTTTGGATGATGAGACTGATAACAGGCACATTCTGATGCAGCGGTGTGCATCAACAGACTTTTCCTGATGCAGTGACTGACAGTTTCGGATGCAGTGGCAGCGATGACTGATAACCTGTCTGACATTTCTAATGCATTGACTGACATTTCTCGATGCTGCGACTGACAATCTCAGGTGCAATGGCAGCCTTGGCAGGCATTTTTTATCTAACGGCCACAGCTCACCCTCACCGCATTCTCATTCCTTCCTCTCACCTGAAACAGGCCGACCGTAAAGAGCTGTCTCCGTTCTCGTGATGGACGGTCAGCATGGAGTCACTGAAGCAGCTCCTGCCAGGTGCTGCTGCCACTGAGGCGCGGTGCCTTCATTGACATGTTTTACCATACCTCATCCCTGCTTCCCACCTACCAAAACACAGGCCGATCCTAAGGAGCTGTCTCTGTTTTCAAGATGGACGGTCAGCATGGAGTCGTTGAAGCAGCATCTGCAGCCTGCGTGCAGCACTGGCCAGAGTGATCTGGGCGCAGCTGCAGAGTTGCTGCTTCAAGCGCTTGAAGCAGCGCCTGAGGAAGCACTGGCCTGCCTCGGTGCTGCTGCCACTGAGGTGCGGTGCCTTCAGTAAGATGTTGGTTATTTCACACACTCGAAACAAGGTTGTGTGGCATTGCAGTTGTGGTCAGGTAGCCGTGCCGTATGGCTCCCTTCACCGGGAGAGGGTAGCACAAGGATGTTTTTTTGTGCTGCGCTGTATGTGTACTGTCCCTCCCGTTGCTGGTTTGCAGTTGGTGCATTGCTGAGTCCTCCTTGACCGTGTTCTTTCTCATCACCCATGTATGTGCGCTGATGATTAGCTATACGATCAGCATCGCATGCTTCTCTTCCTCCACTGCCTCCCTCACACTGTCTCCCTCACACAGTCTCCACCACTTGTTTCTCCCTCTGTACTAGATGTTTCTCGAGATAGGCCTGCTCGAGGTCCCACCTCCCCCTTGTGACTTTTGTGTCCACTAACGGATTCGCCTTTCCCTACGTGGCAGATGTTTCTGGAGAGAGGCCTGATCGAGGCCCCAGCACTCCCCTCTGCGTCAGCATGTGCCTCACAGCATGCCTCGTCTCGCCTGGCTGTGAGGCTGGTGGATCACACTGATTCGATTATTGAATTCAAGAAGCTCAAAGCCAGCAGCCTCGGTGAGTCTATTATTTCAGCAGACTCGGTAGCAATCCTGTACATCTGGTCGTCCTTTCGCCTGGCTGTGAGGCTGGTGGATTACAAAGACTCAGTCATCGAGTTTAAGAAGCTCAAAGCCAGCAGCCTTGGTGAGACTGTCAAGCAGACTCACCTGCAGTCTATATTTTTTATCATCGTTTAAAGGCAGTGTTTGTACGGTTGTTGGGTTGGGCTCCAGCTGCGACACTGCGGTTTACACCATTGATTTTGTTACTTCTTTCCTTTCACACCCAACATTTATGCATCTTCCTCGCCTTGCTTGACTGCTGTAAGAATGTGGAAGCGGAAGTTTCCTTCAAACGGTGGCTTCCTCCTCACTGTCGTCCCCCCGGTCCCTCTCCTCCCCTCACCTCTCATTCCCTCTCCCCTCCTCACCTCACCTCTCCTTTTTTATCCTCTCTCCTTTTTTTTTGTTTTTTTCACCCAGATCGGCTGGTGACAGTGTGTGGGACAGTGGTGCGAGTAGGTCCACTGCGGCCTCTAGTGGTTGCTATGGATTTCACCTGCACGCGCTGTGGCGCCATCACCTCCCTCTCCTTCCCGGATGGGCGCTTCTCCCAGCCTACAGCCTGCGGTCATGACAACTGCCGCAACCGCACCTTCCTGCAAAACCGGGCAGGTGCCCGGAAAATAAACTTCCAAACCATACGGTGAGTTGTGTGTCCGTCACCCATCACTGCCAAGTCTCCACCATTCCAGTCCCGATGGAGCATGGCACATGTCTTCGTTAAATTTCCTACGTCTCTTACCCTCGACCCCTATGGTCTGGGTAAACCACACAAACCAAGTTGATCTCTTTCCTCGGATCTCAACCTTCTGTCTTTCTTTCGATATGCAGTCTCCAGGAGCCGACCGGTGGCACTGGTGGAGGCGAGGACATGGGGAGGATGCCGCGGGTGGTGGACTGCGAGCTCAGGGAGGACCTGGCGGATGCATGTCTGTCTCACAAGCACCCATTCTTACCTGCTTATTATCCCGATTTCTCCTACTTTTCTCTCACGTGTTTTTCGTGATGTCCAGTCTCCAGGAGCTGACAGGCGGCACGGGAGGGGGCGAGGACATGGGGAGGATGCCGCGGGTGGTGGACTGCGAGCTCAGGGAGGACCTGGCGGATGCATGCCTGCCGGGGGACGTGGTGGCAGTGTGTGGGATTGTCAAGATCATCAACAACGAGACGGACGTGGGAGGAGGTGAGGTGAGGGGATAGGTGAGGGGATATGAGTGGAAGGTAGGTTTTGTATTTGCTTAAAGTTCTGTGTGTGCCGGGGGACGTGGTGGCGGTGTGTGGCATTGTCAAGATCATCAATAATGAGACGGACATAAGAGGAGGTGAGGGGCGGGATAGGAGGAGTGGGAAGTGGGTTCTGAGTTGGCTCAAAGGTATGTGTCTGCCCGGGGGACGTGGTGGCGGTGTGTGGGATTGTCATCATCAACAACGAACTGGATGTGGGGGGAGGTGAGGGGTTGGGAGGAATGGGAAGTGTTGAGCTACTAGATAGAAATTATTGCTAGTGAAACACAAGTCGTGCGTTTTTCTCCAGCCATGTGCTTTTCTCTAGAGCACCAAGGCATACACACGTGTGCATGGCATGTGCCCCTCCCATGCATGGCAGGGCGGTCCAAGAAGCGGGGACAATGCCTCTTCCAGCTCTACATAGACGCCAACTCCATTGTCCATGAGTTTTGAGGCACCTCACAAGCCACACTCTCAAACACACACACACACACACACACACACACACATACACACACACACACACACACACTTGTGCATCCACGTGCCCCTCTATTTCAGGGCGGTCCAAGAAGAGAGAACAATGCCTTTTCCAGCTCTACATTGATGCCATCTCTGTCGTCAACGCCAACTCCCAGTCCACTACCCCAAGCCCCACCGCCACCACTGCTGCAACTGCCACCCCTGCTCTCCGCTCTCCTCCCTCTGCGGGTGGTGCGAGTGGAGGGGCGGTGGAGCTGGGGGAGGAGGACCTGAGGGGCATATTGGATTATGTGGTGGAGCATGAGGGCGAGGGCGACCTGTTTCAGCACCTCGTGCACTCCTTCTGCCCCTCCATCTACGGCCATGTGCTCGTTAAAGGTGAGCTGAGCTAACTCTCTGGGCAACTGTTGAGTCTACTCAAAAGGCATGTTGGAATATGTATCTGTTGAAGCTGGGGGAGGAGGACATGAGGGGCATGTTGGAGATGGGGGAGGGGAGGAGGACATGAGGAGCATACTGGAGTATGTGGTGGAGCACGAGGGGGAGAACGACCTCCATCTACAGCCATGTGCTCGTGAAAGGTGGGCTGACTTGTCTATTCTCCGCTCTCGGCTGTGTGCTGCTATTGGTGCGAGTGGAGGGGCGGTGGAGCTGGGGGAGGACAACATGAGGAAGAAGGTGATCTGTTTCAGCACATCGTGCACTCCTTCTGCCATTCCGTCTATGGCCATGTGCAGGTAAAAGTTGGATTGACTTTCTGAACCCTGTGAGTCACTCAACTCGATCATTCCGTCTACGGCCATTACCATTACCACTACCACTACCATTCATATTACTATTACCATTACGATTACCATTACCATTACAACTATCATTACCACTACCATTACTATTACCATTATCATTACCACTATCACTACCATTACCATTACCAGTATTATTACCATTACCATTACCATTACGAATACCACTACCATTACCATTACCATCACTATTACCATTACCACGATCACTACTATTATTATTACCATTACCATTACCATTATCATAACCACTACCACTATCATTACCATTATCATTACCATTTCCACTATCATTATCATTACCATTTCCACTACCACTACCATTACCATTACCAGTACTATTACCATTACCATTACCACTACCATTACCACTACCATTACCATTATCATTATCATTACCATTACCATTACCACTACTATTGCCACTATTATTACCATTATCATTATTTTTACCATTACCATTACTATTACCATTATCATTACTATTATCACTATCATTACCATTATCATTACCGTTACCATTACCATTACCATTACCATTACCATTACCATTACTATTACTAATACCACTACCATTACCATTACTATTACCATTACTTTTACCACTACCGTTACCATTACCATTATCATTACTATTACCACTACCACTACCATTACCATTACCATTGTCATTACCATTACCATTACCATTATCATTACCATTCCGTCTACGGCCATGTGCAGGACAAAGAAGGTGATCTGTGTCAGCACATCGTGCACTCCTGCTGCCATTTCGTCTACGGCCGCGCCTTGTTTCTCCGTGGTACGGTGGCACCTGCAGTTGCTTCCCTCTTCCTCCCTGCTTTCGTCTCCCCTGTCTCTCTCACTCGCAGCGGGCATTATACTGTCGCTCTTTGGAGGTGTGCGCAAGCATGAAGGGGATGCCAACCGCGTGCCAGTCAGGGGAGATGTGCACGCGCTGCTAGTGGGTAAGTGCTTGCAGAAGTGGTTGATGGGTAGGTGCTTTCTTGTTGATAGCACTGAATAATGCCTTTGCAGGTGGGTGATTTATTATATTTGGAAACGTCTCTAGCTCTAGCTGCCCCTGCTTGTGCATTTTTGCCTTGAACCAAAGCACTTCCACCTCATATCTCTCTTCCCGACATTCCACTTTCCACCTGTGCAAGCATGGAGATGTGTGTGTCATTTGCTGGGGTGGCAACAAGAGATCCCTTTGTCTAAGGGCCCATAGAATGAATGAATAGAGTCAGCTGCTCAAACCGGCAGCAGCAGCAACAGTGATTTTTGGATCATTTTAAAGCCATCTGAATAACAGCAAATCTTGTGTCAACGTCCCCACGCATTCCTTTTTGTCACTCTCATTTTTTCCAACCAATCAAACCATCCAGGCGATCCAGGCATGGGAAAGAGCCAGCTGCTCAAGGCAGCAGCAGCGGTGGCACCTCGTGGGGTGTATGTGTGTGGCTCTGGGGCCTCTTCTGTGGGGCTCACAGTGGCCGTGGTCAAGGACGGGCCTGGCGGGGAGTACGCCTTCGAAGCAGGTTGGTGGTGGGATAGGAGATGGGGTTGGAAGGGAATGGTTGCAGCAATGGCACCTTGCAGGCTGGTCTGGCGCCTCCTCTGTGGGGCTCATGGTGGCAGTGGTGAAGGACGGGCCTGGCGGGGAGTACGCATTTGAAGCAGGTCGGTGGTGGGAGGGTAAGAAGGGCGAGGTGCGAGGGGTTGGGTGCTGCAGTGGCTGTGGCACCTCGTGGGGTGTACTGTGTGGCTCTGGTGCCTCGTCTGTGGGGCTCATGGTGGCAGTGGTGAAGGATGGGCCTGGAGGAGAGTACGCATTCGAAGCAGGTTAGTGGGTGGTGGGGTAGGAGATGGGGTAATAATTTTGCTCTTGGGAAGCACCCTCTCTTTCTTCCCCTTTTGTCTTCCCCTGTATCATTTCCAGCAGGAGCCTTGATGATAGCTGATCAGGGCACATGCTGCATTGACGAATGTGACTCTCTCCAGATGCCTAAATAGCTCTTTGTTTGACTCCCTCTCTCACCTCATCCCCTTCTCTCCCTCTTGCATCGCAGGAGCCATGGTAATGGCGGATCAGGGCACGTGCTGCATGGACGAGATGTGAGGCACTTGATGCAAAATGTGAGGCGCTTGATGCTTGGCGCTGGGACGGCGCCCTTACTCTCTTCCCCTGTCGTTCTCTCCCGTTGCTTTCCCCTGCAGGAGCCATGGTGATGGCAGATCAGGGCACGTGCTGCATTGACGAGTTTGATAAGATGGGCAACGAGCAACAGGTGGGCGGGGTGTGGGTAGCGTGCTGTGATGAGGTATGATGAAATGTCGTGAGCAATAAGAGAATCAATGGAGTGTGCAATGATACGCATCTCTTCCTACTGTGCCTCCTGTGCCTCCTGTCTTTCCACATCTCTCTCTCCACTCCCTCCCACCCACCAGCTCCACTTCTCCCTCCTTTCCATCTCTCCCTGCTGACAGCTGCACCATCTTCATATATAGTTTGCTCTTTCCGTCCTCACCCCCCACGCCCCCTCTCTGGGCAGTGTGGAAGCAATGGAGCAGAAGCCGGTGAGTGTGAGTGTGTGGCCAATGCTTCATTTACGTCCTCACCCCCTCCAGCTTTACTTGGGTCGTTCGTTTCCTCTTCCTCGCCCTGCTCCCTCGCCCAGGCGCTACTCGAGGCCAAGGAGCAGCAGAGCGTGAGTGTGACTGCTGCCAAGGCTTCTTTTCTGTACTCACCCCCTCCATCCGGCTCTTTCCTCCTCTTCAACTCCCACCTCCTCTCCCCCCTTCCAGGCGCTATTGGAGGCCATGGAGCAGCAGAGCGTGAGTGTGGCCAAGGCAGGTCTGCTGGCAAACTTTAGTGCGCGCACTGCTGTGCTGGCTGCTGCTAACCCCGTTGGCGGGCATTACAAGTGAGTTGTCGGCTCAAAACTAAACTTCAGTGTACACGCTGCTGTGCTGGCTGCTGCCAACCCCGTTGGGTTGGGGGCCACTACATGTGAGCGCTAAGAGCAAACGAACACAGATTTCAGGCTTTTATTCTGCGTCCATATGGTTTTTAAATTAGAGTCCCAATGATAGGATTCTCTCTCCGTTCCCCATTTCGCTCTCACTCCTTTCCTTCTGTTTCCCTCCTTGGCGTCTTCGCTTCAGGACCTCTCACTCCTCCAGTACTTCCGTTTCCCACCCTGTCCTTTTCTTCCTGGCCCGTCCCTTCCCCTCCCCTCCACTCCCATTTTCTCTTATGTTCTCCCATTTCCTCCACAACAGTCGAGCGCGCACACTAAACGAGAATCTGAAGCTGTCTGCCGCGCTCCTGTCAAGATTCGATTTGATCTTCATTCTCCTGGACCGGCCAGACCACCACACGGACCAGCGTCTATCAGAGCACGTGCTGCAGGTGAGAGGGTAGCGGAATGTGGTACAGGTATATGTTTTATGCATGTGATATGTGGTAGATTTGAGACGTCTCAAAACGTAACATGTGGTAGAGGCAAGTGGCATACGTATGTGGTGCAGGCATGTGCTAAACAAATGTGGTACACGTGTGTGGTAGAGGTATGCTGTAATGCCATTTGGTTTGGCGTTTTGTGGTTAGGCTAATCACTCGAGGCATGTGGTAGAGCCTTCAGAAGCGGGTTCCGTTCACCATTCTTCAGCTTCTTTCTCCTTGTTGCCTGTGTTTATCCCACAGATGCATGCAGGCATGCCGTCTCGCTCCAAGGCATCCAAGCGCAGCTGTGAGTCGTGCACCACACTCCCTCTCTCACTGCATCCCTCACTACATGCATGCATGCATGTGTGGCATCTGTGTTGCCTGGGTGTATTGTAGATGCAGGCAAGCATTCCATCTCGCTCCAAGCCATCCAAAAGCAGCTGCCTGCCACACTGTCTCCTCCTCTTGTACCAATATTTTTTTCGTCCATTGTCCATTCAGGCTGTATCGTTTTTTATCACGCCTTCAGCAAGTAATAGCACTCACATCTCGAACTTCCCACTTTGGTCAACAACCCTCCTTGCATCCCATCCCATCTCACCAGACCATCGCATTCCTTTGTCGTTCTGACAGTAAATCATCCTCACATTTCAATATACCCCCCCTCCTCTCACACCCCCACCTCTTCACCCCATCACACCCACCCCACCAGCCCACCTCTTCCTCACGGCCCCATCAGCCACGGACGGCCATGCATCGCACCTCGACCTGCCTCTCTCGCACCGTCTGCACCTCCGCTCCTCTGCTGCCCACTTTTACTCACATCTGAACTTTCCTCCCTTCGTTCACCCCGCTCTTTCTCACCCCACCCCAACCCACCCCACCAGCCCATCTCTTCCTGACAGCCCCATCAGCAACGGATGGCCATGCATCGCACCTCGACCTGCCTCTCTCTCACCGCCTGCGCCTGCGCTCATCTGCTGCCCGCAACTTCTCCCCCCTCTCCCCTGCTCGCCTGCGCCAGTACATTGCATACGCTCGCACGCATGTGCACCCCAGGTGCGCGCTCACGTGTAGACTATGTGCATATTTCCTTCCCCTCTCCGCCCTCCTCATGTTTCTCGACATGCTAATTCCTGCATGCACGTGATGCTCTGCCCGGCCCCTTTTGAGTCGACTCAAAAGTCACCTCGACATGCTAATTCCTGCATGGGCGTGCAAGCTCTGCCAGGCCCGAATTCCCTTTGAAAGTGGTTCCCCGCTGCAATCCGACTTTTACTTCTTTCTGCCGCTCGTTTTGACTACAGGCTCTCAGAGGAGGCGCGGGCAGTGATCAAGGCGTTCTACCTGCGGCTAAGGGAGCACAGACGAGCTATGGACGGCCCTGCAGTCCCACAATGCATCATTATTTCCCTCGCCAAACCCACTGCCATCCCTTGTGTTTCTGCCGCTCGTTTTGACTACAGGCTGTCAGAGGAGGCGCGGGCAGTGATCAAGGCGTTCTACCTGCGGCTAAGGGAGCACAGACGAGCTATGGACGGCCCTGCAGTCCCACAATGCATCATTATTTCCCTCGCCAAACCCACTGCCATGCCTTGTGTTTCTGCCGCTCGTTTTGACTACAGGCTGTCAGAGGAGGCACGTGCAGTGATCAAGGCGTTCTATTTGCGGCTGAGGGAGCACAGCCGCGCCATGGATGGCCCTCCAGTCCCACAATGTATCATTATCTACCTCGCCAAACCCACTGCCATCCCTTGTGTTTCTGCCGCTCGCTTTCACTACAGGCTCTCAGAGGAGGCACGTGCAGTAATCAAGGCGTTCTACCTGCGACTGAGGGAGCACAGCAGAGCCATGGACGGCCCTCCAATCACAGCGCGCCAGCTGGAGAGCCTCGTCCGGCTCGCCGAGGCTCGGGCCCGCGTGGAGCTGCGGGAGGAGGTTACCGAGGCTGATGCGCAAGAGGCGGTGGAGCTGATGGGGGAGTGTCTGCTGGATAAGCTGACAGACGAGGCGGGCAACATAGACGCGGGTCGGGGCGGCAGCTCGAGCAAGTCAAAGGAGTCAAAGCGGTTCCTTGCTGCGCTGCAGCGCACTGCTAAGCAGGCCATCAAGACATGCTTCTCAAGGAAGGTCCGTCCTGAATTCTTACCCCACTCACCTCGCAAGGCAGCTCGAGCAAGTCAAAGGAGTCAAAGCGGTTTCTGGCGGCACTGCAGCGCACGGCTAAGCAAACCATCAAAACGTGTTTTTCAAGAAAGGTTCGTTGTGGCTTTCGAGCCAACTTAACTCACATCACAAGTCACATCACCACTCGCCTCCTGCAAGTCAAAGGAGTCAAAACGCTTCATTGCTGCTTTACAGCGCACCGCCAAGCAGGCCATCATAGCGTGATTCTCAAGGAAGGTTTGTCTCTGATTCTTACATCAAAATGCACCTCGAGCAAGTCAAAGAAGTCAACGCCGTTCCTGGCCACCCTGCAGCGCACCGCCAAGCAGGCCATCAAAACGTGCTTCTCAAGATAGGTCCGTTTTGATTTGAGTTTTGAGTCCTTACGAGTCAGCTCGAGCAAGTCAAAGGAGTCGAAGCGGTTCTGTAGGTTGCCCTCATGCCGTGCCTCACCTTCTTCTTCGTATTACATTGTGCCGCCCGTTGCCAGTCAGGAGCTGGCCCAATCAGAGGACGGCATGTGTCTGAGAGTGCCGGATCTCAATGTGCTGATGCCGTGCCACGTGCTTTCCTTCCATACCCCCATTCCCATCTTCCATACCCCCATTCCCATCTTCCATACCCCCATTCCCATCTTCCATACCCCCATTCCCATCTTCCATACCCCCATTCCCATCTTCCATACCCCCATTCCCATCTTCCATACCCCCATTCCCATCTTCCATACCCCCATTCCCATCTTCCATACCCCCATTCCCATCTTCCATACCCCCATTGCCATCTTCCACATCTCCATTGCCCAACTTCCACATCCCCATTGCCCAACTTCCACATCCCCATTGCCCATCTTCCACATCTCCATTGCCCAACTTCAACATCCCCATTGCCCATCTTCCACATCTCCATTGCCCAACTTCCACATCCCCATTGCCCAACTTCCACATCCCCATTGCCCATCTTCCACATCTCCATTGCCCAACTTCAACATCCCCATTGCCCATCTTCCACATCCCGATCGCCTGTCAGGAGCTGGCCCAATTAGCGGACGACATGTGTCTGAGAGTGCCGGATCTTCATGCGCTGATTGACAGCCTGAATGAAGCCGGCTTTCTGCTCAAGAAGGGTGGAGGGCTCTTTCAGGTACGAGCCACTTCCATGTCTTCATTAAAGGCGGCATCTATGCTTGAGACTTTTGGGACTGGTCACTGGTCACTGGTCATTGGTCACTGGTGCATGCTCAGCTTATTGTTATAGGTACCCCTGGGTTCTCCTGTTGGTTGGTGTGGTGTGTACTTTGCTTGGTTCTCTGTGTTTGCAGGTACAGACATGATGTGCCACGTGAGAAGTGCTTCACCCCACTGGTGTATATATGCATGCATGCAGTTCAAGTGACTTGTGCTTCATCCCACTGCTTCAATGAATGGAATGAAAGGTGACTGGTGACTGCAACCTCTTTTTTTTTAACTTGACATCCCTCCACTGGCAAACGAAGCATGGGACAGTACAGGTACTGGGACATCACAGTATGGCGCATGCAAGGCTGCTTGCGGTTAGCATGCACCCAAGTTCAACCATGTTGCAGATGCCCACTGCTCAGCTCTGGCAATCATTGATAGCTCGCCACGCCACACCCCAGCTGTTTAGAGCGCACACATACAGGGGCCATGGCCCTCATTGTAGTGTGTTCGGGCTGATACAGACTATGACACAAATGCAGTCTAGACGATACCGTAATGTGATGCCTGGAGCACTGGGGTCAGATATTCACCATGTGTGTGGACACCCCTCCCTGCCTCACACCCCCTTCCCTCCCCTGCCTCAACGGCAATGGAGTGCAGTCTCCACTCATTCCCCCTCTGCAGTTCACCGCTGCCATTGGTTCATGCCATCCCAACCAAACAAGTACACCAGTGAAAGCTTGAATATTTTACTGTTGAAGGCTCTAGAGCCCAAAAAAAGGAGACAATTCGTGGTGGTGGCCTAAATGCATACAAATAACTTGAAGCATCCCCAAATATTCCCCCCTTGAAATCTCCCTTTTTACGAGGTCAGAGCCTTCACCAGCTCCTGCTTGGTGTTACCGCGGATACCCCTTTGGGCGGCAATCGCGCGCAGCTGCGCCAGCGACTTCGTGGCGAGGATGCTAGCGCTAGGGAGAGCGGGCGCGGAGGAGGACGCGGGGGCGGAGTACGACGGGGTGTAGGACGAGGACGACGACGAGGCCACGGCGCTGCCGTTGGTGTAGGAAGCGGGGGCAGCAGCCTTGGGAGCGGCGGGGCCACTGCAATAGAGAAGCGGAAACAAGGTCATTAAGAAACTCATCTGTACTTTCATTCACATCATTAAGCTTTAAATTATGTTTGAGAAAGTGCTTTAGGTAAAGGTACTTACGTCAGGAGCTTGATGAGCTCCTTGCGGGTGTCTCCGCGCACTCCCCGCGCCTTAGCGAGCGCGCGCAGCTCGCTCAAGGCGAGGCTCTCTAGCTGGCCGACAATCTCGGGCTTGTCCTGCGCGAAACCCTGCACCGCGGACGCGGGAGCGCCAGCGGCGGAAGCACCGCCGTGGTACGCGAGAAGCCCCGCGACCAGCTCCGCGCGGGTGGTCCCCGAGACTCCGCGCATGCGTGCAACGGCGCGCAGCTTGGACATGGGCTTGGTCTGGAGGCGGCGCTGGTAGTCGGAGATAGACTGGGTGTTGGGGACCACGGGGGAAAGCGCCTCAGCGGAGAAGGAAATAGCGGGCGCAGCCGGGGCGGGGGTGACGCCGCCAACGCTCCTGCGGTTGGGAAGAACCGAAGGCCATTAGCGAAGTAATAGTAACAATAAATCCACAAATGGAAAGTTTGGCGAAGGTAACGGTTGCAATAAACGACAAAACTTGATAGGTAGGTGCATGAAAGCCGGAAGCTGGACGACGCAACACGCACGGGAAGGCGATGCTTACAGGAGCAGCTTGATGATCTCCGCCTTGGTGTCACCGCGGAGACCCTTAGCGGAGGCGAGCGCGCGCAGCTCACCCAGAGTCTTGCTCTGCAGGAGGGCCTCGTCGCCCGACACAGCCGCAGCAGCGCGGCTGTACGACGCCGCGGGCGTGGCTGCGGAGGCACCGCTGCGAGAAGGAATCAAGAGAGTCGCGACAACAGCGAGATAAATATTAAGGATGACATGGTGGTATGTGAGCAGCAAACCAACAGCTTCGAGCGGAGGGAAGCATGACGCGCAAAGGCTTGGAACCCACACGAAGCAGCGAATATCGGACGGGATGACTCTCGGTGATAAGCCAACAATTAACACTTCAACCTAAGACTCACCCAGTGAGGGCGGCAATGAGCTGGGCCTTGTTGCTGCCAACGATACCCTTTTGGCGGGCCATGGCACGCAGCTGCTCCAGCGACCTGCCCTGCAGGTCGCGAGCGGTCAAGGCGGCGACAGCGACGAGTGACCGACGCTGCTGCTTGGCCTGGATCGCTGGGAGCGAGACCATCGTGGACACGGAGCGTGCCTGCTCCATGGAGGAGAGAGCAGGTGCTGCGAGGAAGGCGGACTGCAGAAGAGAGGAAAACGGAGACGAACGTGCAGACGGAAGAACATTGTTAGACAACGAAAACGGCAAGATAAAGACGGCATTGCGGAGGTTATGATGGCAGTTGAGAACCTAATGCTGTCGTTATGATGGTTAAGGACTTCTAGCCGTTGTTCAGTAGGCCAATCTGTGACTGGAAATAAGAGCGTAATCCTACTCTGGAACGTCATTCAACACTACAATGTTGAGGGAAAGTACCTTCTGAGCGACGGCGGCCATGGCTGCTCTTTGCTGACGAAGCTGACGAAGAAGCGAGGTAGGAACGAGCTAACTTGTCAGCAACGGAGAGCAGAAAGGCAGACGAGCGAACAGAAGACAATTTTCAAAATAAAGCTTAGCTCGCCTCAATTTGACCTGTCTCTCGCCTTGGGATTGCCATGCCTATCCAGTTCTCTTTTCCTCGCTACACTGTGGAGCAGTCTGGTGGCATTTTGGCAGTTGGCACTGGGAGGAGGGGTGTTGAGTGGGTTGGGGAAGGGTAGTGTGAGATGCATGGGGGAAAAGCGGAAACCAGCAGGGCATGGCATGCACGCCAATGCGGACGAGTTACCGGGCAAGGCTCGTCTCACTCTCCACCACACGTGCCCCTGAATGAAATTGCTGGTCTGGGATTGACGACAGACGGGTGATAGATCAAATTGCCAGCGTGGCGTACCTCGAAAAGAGCGTTTTCCAAATGGTTCGGCCATGTTGGCAGTTTCCACGTCGGATGATTCTCCGACGGAAAGGGTCTAGGTTCACGAACAGCCGACTGCTTTTTGGGAGGACAGAAAGTCGAACGAGCATACAAGTGGAAATTTTTAGCTTTTCGGGCAGCAGCTTACTGAAGAACTCATTTTCCTTATCCACGCAGGAACCGCTGACGTGGTTTTGATGTGGCCAGCTAGCCAGCTCTGTCTTGGTAGCCCGTCCAGATTCAAACTCGCCCATCTAGTGGCTCCCGAAGCTTGTCCCGAATCAAGGCCTAATGGGATGTTTCAGCGGGCACTTGTGGCTGATATTTCCTCCAAATCGAACCGCCTGCCACGAGGCAAAAATCCGAGAGCAGATAGCTTCCTCCCCATCGGTCCTCAACGGCCCTCGTGGTCTGTAGTTGACCGTGGTGCTCGTAGGGCCCTCCTTGTCGCGTGGCATCTGTCCGACGTGGCATCTGGCGGATCCTCTCATCCACCATCTGTGGTGGCCCAACTCGACACCAGGCATGCAGCCATGGCTGCCAATCAGCTGGTTCTTCATTCCTCACCAACCTCTACCCTTCTTCAACTTGGTCTTCCTCAGCTGTCCCAGTCTGCTAACTCTGAGAGTGTCGACTCCATTGCTTATTCTTCACTCGCTGCCTTGACTCGAGTTTGCTCCCACGAGTAACTCGTTCTGTTCGCCTTCGCCCGGCTGTCTTGGCGATTGTCGTCCGTGCACGCGCTACTAGCTCTCCGTGTGTGGTGACCTCGTAGCAGACACCATGGCGTCCACCACTCTTTCAGCCAAGGTCCGCCATCCCAACCTCTATCCAGATGCTGCCGTCACCTTGTTTTCCTATTTTCACTCCGCGTTTCGACAGCTCGTTTCGTCCTTTTTGCATACTCTATTCTCCTTGCCATACGCTCCACGGTTCTCGTCTGACCGTGCTCCCCTCACCGTCTTCCCGTCCTTCTCCTCCCTCTGACCGCCGCCTCTCCCCGTCTCTCCTGCTTCTCCTCCCCCTGCATCCGCCTGCAGATTGCCTCATCCGCGCTTCTCGGCTCGTCCGCGCAGCTCTCCAGCAATGCGACCCTCTCGGGCGCAAAGCTCCCCGGAGCTCCCCCCGCGGGCCGCGCGCGCGTGACATGCATGGCGGAGGACCGCTGGGCGGGGCTCGGGCGCGACATTTCCGACGACCAGCAGGACATCACCCGCGGAAAGGGCATGGTGGACGCGGCGTTCCAGGGCGGATGGGGCCAGGGCACGCACGCGGCGGTGCTGAGCTCGTACGACTACATGAGCCAGGGCCAGCGCAAGTACGTCCCACGTGCTCTCTCGCGCTCTCTTATCCGCCGTCGCGCTCTCGCATGCTCTCGCGTGCTCCCTCGTGCGACTCTCTCTCAGCTCGTACGACTACATGAGCCAGGGCCGGCGCAAGTACGTTCCCGCGTGCTCCGCCGAGGGTCTGTACATCGCGCCGGCGTTCATGGACAAGATGGTGGTACACATCTGCAAGAAGTGTTGCATGGTCTCAAGAAACATTCTCAGTGCGGACTCGTTGCTCCCTGTCTCTCTCTCACCCCGCACCACCCCCCGCCTTCCCCCCTCCACCCTACTCCCCCCTTCCAACCCCTCCCTCCCCTCCCGCTCCCGCCTCCGCTTCCGCCCTCCCCCCCTTTTGCAGTCTGAGCAACGTGACGGCGGAGGGTCTGTACATCGCGCCGGCGTTCATGGACAAGATGGTGGTGCACATCTGCAAGAACTTCATGCAGCTGCCCAACATCCGCGTGCCGCTCATTCTCGGCATCTGGGGTGGCAAGGGCCAGGGCAAGTCCTTCCAGGTATGCCTTCCTCTCGGCTTTTTCTCTTCCTTTCTCCAATTCTTCTGTTTTTTTCCTTGTGTATCAACTAGCAAGAGTGGTAGCTGCTTCTTTCCTGCTCGCCCCTCCCCCTCCCCGTTCCCACCACCTCTCCCTATCCTTTTCGCAATGCCGTGTCGTATCCTGGTATTCTCTTCAGTTTTCATTCCTCTGCAATGACATGTTTATCCGCTTGCGCTTCTCGTCTACGAGTATATATCTAGGACATATACAGTAGCTATGTCTAGTGTGGTTGTCTAATCCGCATCCACCCGCAAATATCCTTGTGTACGCGTTACAGTGCGAGCTGGTGTTCGCTAAGATGGGCATCAACCCCATCATGATCTCCGCGGGAGAGCTCGAGAGCGGCAACGCCGGCGAGCCCGCCAAGCTCATTCGGCAGGTGAGCAGAGCACGCCGACTTGCTGCAATGGGTCTTGTCTCATTATCACGAGCGCGGCGCGCATGTCGTTATGACGTTGCTTGAGTGCGAGTGGGCTTCATCCATCTGTTTTCCTCGTTCCATTACTCTACTCGTCCTTCGTTGGATGAATGCGCATGAATGTGCGCTGGGTGCTTGGTGTCCCTGGGTCACAGCAACGTGTCGATCGTGTTCACGTAGGGTCCAGCGTCGTCTGCCATCCATGCAATGATGCAATGCATCCCATTCCCCTCGCTTCTATCTATCCGCCTCTATACTCTCTCTGACTCCTTCCCAGCTACCCCCCCCCCCCTTATTGTCTTGCGCTGTTTCGTCTTCTTCCCCCCCTACAGCGTTACCGCGAGGCGTCGGATCTGATCAAGAAGGGCAAGATGTGCGCGCTCTTCATCAACGATCTCGACGCGGGCGCGGGGCGCATGGGCGGCACGACGCAGTACACGGTGAACAACCAGATGGTGAACGCCACGCTCATGAACATCGCCGACAACCCCACCAACGTGCAGGTGCGCTTCACGCTTTGGTCGCCGTTCAAGAGGATGAGGCTTAGGTGTCTCGGCAGATTTGGGTGCAAAGTCGCAAGCTGTAGGTCCTGCGAGCTTAGAGGATAGTCCAGGGAAAGACTCGTCTATTCGTGTAGCAGGGTTTGGTTGGCATAACTCGTATCGTGGGACTACTTGGTTTTAAAGAAATGGTCGACAACGACGGATTTCACGTGGTTGTGGCGAGAGTTCCTTTAGAGGATGCCTTGATTGCCATCGCACCGAATCGCCTGCCTGAACTGAACAACGAGCGACTAGAAATGGAATGACATTGTCGGGAATGAGATAACATCTTAATGCACGGGGTCTTACACGCGGCCTCTTTCCTTTATTCGCAAACCCATCATGTCACCCTCGATCTCTCTCTTCACTCCCCGTCTAGCATCCGCTTCCCCCATTCCTTCCCACACTGAAATGCCCAGCTTGTATAACTAGGAGATCAACCGCGTGCCAGTCTCAAACGGCTCTGCCTCTCCCACTCCCTTCCCTTGTTATGTCTCGGGCCCTCCTCCCCTCCATCTCGTCCCTTCGAATTCCAGATGCCCGGCATTTACAACAAGGAGGAGATCAACCGCGTGCCCATCATCGTGACTGGAAACGACTTCTCAACACTCTACGCACCGCTCATCCGCGACGGGCGCATGGACAAGTTCTACTGGGCGCCCACCCGCGACGACCGCATCGGCGTCTGCAAGGGAATCTTCCGGGAAGACAATGTCTCTGAGGGTGACGTCATCCAGCTCGTCGACACCTTCCCCGGCCAGTCCATTGACTTTTTCGGGGCGCTGCGCGCGCGTGTGTACGATGATTTGGTCCGCAACTGGGTGGGGTCGATCGGGATTGAGAACATGGGCAAGAAACTCGTTAACTCCCGCTCCGGCCCTCCGGAATTCGAGAAGCCGAGCATGCCTCTGTCTACCCTCCTGGAGTACGGTCACCTCCTGGTTTCCGAGCAGGAGAATGTGAAGCGGGTGCAGCTCGCAGACACCTACCTTAACGAGGCAGCTCTTGGGAATGCTAACGCGGATGCTATTTCCCGGGGGACGTTTGACGGTGGCAGGACTCCCCCTCCTGCTCCCCCTGCGCCTGCTGCGCCCAGGGCTGCTGCTGCTCCGCCTGCTCGTGCTGCTGCGCCGGCAGCAGGGGGAGTGGCAGGGGGAGCGAGTGGACTGGAGGGCAAGTCGCTGGGGGAGCTGCGGGCGCTGGCGAGGCAGAGGGGCGTGCGGGGGGATACCAAGGCGGAGCTTATTAAGGCCCTTTCTACTGCCCCTGCTGCTGCCGCTGCTGCTCCTGCTGCTGCTGCTCCCGCCGGCAACGGTGCTGCCAAGTAAGTTCTGGCTGTTAAGAGTACCAGGCGTTGTGCTGTGCGATCCTCCATGTGTCTTCCTCCCCAAACCTTGCCTTCCTTGC